GGTGGTTTCTAAAGGGTTTTCGAGGTCGCTGATTTAGAATATGACTTCAAAAATTATAAATACAAAATGGCGGATCCAATATGGCGCCTAAAAATATAAAAAATTGCTTGTTTTGCACAAAAATGAAACCTAAGGGGTTTCTAAGGGGTTTTTGAGGTCGCTGATTTAGAATATGACTTCAAAAATTATAAATATAAAATGGCGAATCCAATATAACGTATAAAAATATAAAAAATTGCTTGTTTTGCATAAAAATAAAACCTAGGGGGTTTCTAAGGGGTTTTCGAGGTCGCTGATTTTGAATATGACTTTAAAAATTATAAATACAAAATGGCGGATCGAATATGACGCCCGACAAAATTATAAAATTGTCGATCAAAACTTGAAATTAAAAATGATTGTTAAAACTTAAAAGAAAGTACCCGATTATGAGATACCATATCTATTTTGTGTGATTGCCGAAAGTTTATGGGCAGAATTGAAATATATAGTAGGTCATTTTGTAGGGAATTTAATAAGCTTTAAAATGCTGAAATGTAAAATTTAATTTAAATATTAATTTTGCTAAAAATTAGAAAAATGTGAAAAATGAGCTTTCGGCAAAATCGCAAAAGTGTGCTCCTAATATGAGAGATACCGGGAAATCGCTAATAAAGTGCAAAATACATGATATTGCAATTAAAGAACCTTATTTAAAGTTTTTGAAAGACAAATGTAATGGAGAAGCATATTTGCCACAATCGTAAACCTACTTATACTCAATATTGTACCAAATCTTCTCCCTCCACCCTTCCCTCTCAAAACAAGGTCAGCACAGTCTTATAAATTTGTATAAACCTTCCCTTAACGTTAATATAGTATTTTCTCTGCTTTTATTACTATACAATAACTTTCATACTCCAGCAACCATTAGTTTAGCAGAAACCTCGCTGTCGCATATTAGGAGCCTATCTCATAATAGGGGACTTTCTTATATTAATTAATAACAACTTATTCAATATTTTTGTCTTCCATTTCTATATCAAGACCGTCTAAATAAAATACTATATTTTCAAGCTCGAAGTTGCACTCGTCTTCGTCTTCAGTTTCGCTAGTAACATCTAAAATATCATCATCTTTTAAATTAATGTCAAAGTCTGTATCATTAATAACTAATAATCTATAACCTCTGGTGGAAAATGTTTACGCTTTCTTGTATTAATTCTTTTTTGTAAACTAATACTTGAAATTATAATATCGGAACTTGCTAAGGCACGTTTAAACATATCTGTCAAATTATCAACTCTACTTGTTTTTCTTGCGTGATCTAATCTATCATTTTTATAATATTTGTTCCGACTTTCTGCTGCGTCTTCTCCGAAGACGCCTACAGGAAGCAGAGAGTTTAATATAATCTGTGCTCCATGAGCAAATGTTTTATGAACAGCTGATGGCATTTTGTACCATCCATACTTCTCGTTAAAAATCTTTGCTGTGTCGAAACAAAACTCTTGAAATTTAATAGGATCAACTGGAAGTTGACTGTTCAAAACAATTAAAATTGTTCTGAAATTTTTAACTAACGTTACGTCAAGATTTAATATCTCAGCTAACAGTTTTGGTTTTTCAAACGCTCTTCTGGAAACGTTTCCAGTAGTGCTAGTTCCAACACCTGCCGATCTTGGTTGATCTACTGACATTGAAAATTTTTCTCGAAATCGCTCTTGAATTTGTTTCTTTCTTTCTTTTATAATATTTTTTGCTTTATCTCCTGTAACTTTCCAAACCTTTAATTCAATACGATAAGAAATATGTAATATACATTCGAAAAAACGAATCCACATATGTAGTGTAGACAACCCGTATTGTAATGTATCTGGCTTCGGTTCGAATGCAGGAGTACCAAAATTTGTAATTTTATTCATCTGATTTGGCTTGGCATGGCATATTGGGCAATTAGCAAATCCAGAAGATCCAGTCAAAATACTTAAAACTTTTCCATCTATAAGAGACAAAAGAAGGAACAGGAGACTATAATTTTCTATTGCCACTGGAAAATTCGTATGTAATTAGACGCAAATTTTTAATCTGTTCTTTCATTTTCTTATTTGTCGCTCTAATATTTTCTGGAGTTTTTTTTTTATACTCTAACATTATTGGCGAACAAAATCTTATCGATTGTGGAGTTCTATTGCACCAATATATTGCACCATGTTTAGCAACTAAACGTAATGGAATGGTAGTTGTAGCTATCAAGTTAGTATCCGTTGTTCCAACTGATTTACCTGAACTATTAAAGTGTTGATTATAAGTAGAGTGATCACTAGATCCATCAAAACCCCATGATGATATCAATGTAGCTTCAACACGTTGCAAAGATTTTTGTTGCATGTCAGCTTCAATAACTTCTACTTGCATTTCTATTAGGCGCTTCACTCTATGTTCGAGGAAATTTTGAAGTGAAACTGTAGCTGTTATATCTGTGACGATTATACCTTTCGGATAACACTGTTCTTTTTCCATTCGTACCAATTCATATTTTGGCCATATATCAGCATTTCGTCGTTTACATTCCATGTGCATACGGTGATATTGGCTTTTTGATAAATTGTTATCAATTAAATAAGCCATAGCTTCAGCAGGAGTAGCTTTTATAACTACATTATTTTTAGTTAAACTTGTTCTAATTTTCTCAACAATTGTAGGGGTTTTCAACACTTCACTAATAACGGATGCTAAATCATTATCTTTATTTCTCTTTGCTGATACTTTTGCAGCCATCAAAAGCTGTAAGGTGTTGTTACTTACTTCAGTTGACAACTTGCTGGCATCTCTTCTCTGAGATCTCACAATCAGTGATATTTCGCTGAATTTTTTTTCAGTACGCCTTGATTTTGAAGATAAAAGCATCTCAAATTTTTCTGACATCAACATTTTTTTAGGCTTTTGTAAAATATTCTGTGGATAAATGAAATCACTGTCCAACCATTTTTTATACTTAGTTATAAACTTACTTAGTTTAAACTTAGTTATAAACAGTCTTTTATGTTGGCCTACATTATTAAAATAATTTTTATATCTAGAAAATAAAGAACGAACAGTTTGTAAAAGAATCTTTTCTTGTTCCTCATCTATTTCTTGCCCAAGATGTTTTAAGACATACCGGTAACAACCTTGTACGTCTTTATTAAAGAAAAATGTTTCAAATAAATATCTTTTCGAAACATTCTGAATATTTCGTTTCCGCCCAATGGAGATTTCTGGTGCTACTGCAATATTGCTCGGCGGATCCAACACGGAATTTTCCATCGTGTCCATTCCTATGGTAAAGTCAATATTGCAGCGACCTTCGTTTCCAGAAGGGATAGTGTCACCAGTCCAGGAACACGAACTTGAGCCTACTGGCAATCCATCAGCTTCCAGAACAATCTCTGGAAGCGTGACCTGATGGCCGGTTCTACCCAAGTCGTGAGAGCTACCCGCTCTAGGGTCCAAGTTGTCATCAGTATTTCTGTCCTTGTGTGTATATTCATCCATTCTCCTCAGTGCTGCCCGTTCATCCTAAATTTCATCGGGTAAGGGTTTATTTACAGCACCGGGGCTCTTCCTTACCCTCCATTTAGGAATCATCACGAGTAGGCTGTAAAGCCCTTTACAGGAGATCTTAAAGGTTAAGAATGGATGACATACCCACAAGCCACGAAATACACATATTTACATCATAACGATTGCATTTCTTCTATATACTTTGCATTTCTTCTTATACTTTCTATATACATTTATTTTGATTTTAAATTAGAATTTAGTGAACTGAGAAACCCCTCGGACACCGCTTACGTTTCATTTTTATGCAAAGGAGCAATTTTTCAAATTTTTGGGCGCCATATTAGATCCGCCATTTTGTATTTTTAATTTTTAATGTTATATTCAAAATCAGCGACCTCGAAAACCCCTTAGAAACCCCCTAGGTTCCATTTTTATGCAAAACAAGCAATTTTTAATATTTTTGGGCTCCATATTGGATCCGCCATTTTGTATTTCTAATTTTTAATGTCATATTCAAAATTAGCAACCTCAAAAACCCCTATATAACGTCCCACTGTGCACTGTGATATCGCTTAGCTTAATCACGAACTTGTTAAGAAAAAAATAGTCGATTGTCTTTACTTTAAAAAATTATATCTCCCGGAGACGGTTCTAGACGGTGATTTACGAAACGGTTTTAGAAAGAGTAGAGTCCCACCTAATATTCAAGCCAAAGATCGCCTTGTTATTGTTTGTTATTCGGAAGTTCTAGTTTTTTAAATATCAGAAACTGATAAAGTCATTACTTTTTTTTAATTCAAGTTTAAAGTTCTCTCCTCCAGAATGGCCAAAGCTTAATTTATTCTTATTATTTTCAAGCATTAACTTATGCTAAAAAAGTATTTCAAGCAATGATTTGTACGTCTTCAACATTGGAGGAGAAAAAAAAGATCAAAGAAACAATAATCTTTCGTAATTTCAAGGTACATTTTTACACACTTTTAAACACAAAATGCAACAGAAATAATACTTTGCGTGGAACAAATGGTCTTAAATTTTTCCCCGTGTCTCACTAATGTTTATAGAAACTTTTCCAATCGTTAAACATTACGAACTTTGACTTTGATTTTTGCCATTTTTGGCCAGAAAATAGGCGAAACGTCCCATGCGGCGGCTCGCCAGGCGCGTAGCTTCGCGGCGCGGTGCCCCGTGGCGCTATGAAGATTCGGCCGCCACAACATATGTCCTTATTCAGTATATTTACCATGTGAACATGTAGTCTCCGTGGACAGATAGCCCCGGTTTCTTCTACAATTAATAGATAATTTATAGATATTTGTATCTTTGCTTGTAATTCTGACATAATTAAGAGAAAATAATAAAAATGATTTCAATAATTTACACTGCAAAATAACTTTTGCTTTTCTTAAAAAATTAAACTTAGAAAGGACGTGTGTTTTGGAATAATAGTAGGTTTTTCAACATTGTTTTTCCAGTTTTTTCTATCATGGGAAATAAGAAAGTGGATGTGCACATACATGAGGGAAGATTAATCGGCACTGTCGAAGAAGATGGCTACGGCGGCCGCTACTTTGCTTTCCGTGGAATACCATATGCAAAACCCCCAATTGGCGAACTCCGATTTAAGGTGATTATACATATATTATTATAGGCACTTTTAAAGACAATATTTAACTTTAACCTTGGTTTATAACACTGTACAACAAAAAATCACTTTTTTTGAGCACAAGAACGAGCCTTGCAGCCTTCGATAGTTTTTTGGACGCAAAAAACGACCCTGTTTGCCGAATTGCTCTGTCACGTCACAATTTTGAGATATTTGCAGTTAAAGTTGCAAAAATGAGCTATTTTAGTGTATTTTGGCATATTATGAAAATAAAATATTTGAATTTTTTACATATAACACTGCGTGCGGGAATATCTCATTCCTGCACGACCTCGAGTGAGAAATCTCTCGCGCGTGCGGAATCGGCCATCCCTCGCACAGATGGCGCGTGCGCAATAGGCCACTTTTCACGCACTTTGTAATATAAAATAGGGTGTGTAACACGTGCGGGTTGAGAATTGGACACGAGTGCGGAGTGGACGCACGAGCCGAAGGCGAGTCCCTTTTTTCAAAAAAAAATTTTTGGGTGGTAAATATTACTATTTAAGGAAAAACATCGTCTACTGTCTAATAAATTAGCCCGTAGAGGGTTTTGGGAAAGGGTCAAAGTGAGGGGAAAAGGTCTGCTGAAAAAGAATGTTTATTAGCATCAGTTGCGTTTATGCTTCGCGCGGGCTCAGAACCTTTTCCTTTGTTTTAGTCTAGGTCCCTAATTCCCTAAACCCTCTTTGTTCTTATTTTTTTTCGGGGATGGCGATGATGTGTATAATTTTTAATAACCGATTTTTTTGAAATTGGTTTCCAAAAAATCGGTAACGAAAAATTATCCATAAAAATTATTCATAAAATTTGTGCTTATCTCAAAATTTGCGGAAATTAGAGCAATCACGTACATTTCTTTAAACAAAAATCGAATACCTTTTTATTATTAGCAATTTTTCTAATTCTATTACATTTTTTAGTTTTTTCTACTCCTATTTCATATATAATTCTTTAAGAGGTAATTATGCAGTTTAGGGGAAGCACCTCCGATGACCTTGACCTTGACATATGTTGTCAAGGTCACCCTCCTGAGTGACCTTCAGAAGGTTTTAGCCGTCGCTCGTTTTTTATTAAAAAGTTATAAACAAAAAAAGTTTCAAAAATATAGCAGTTATTTTAAGTACTGAGAGGCATAAACGACTAATATTACGTTTTTCTTTAAAGCAGAGAATACTTTATTTCGCGAGAAAGTCGCTGCTTTACCAAAACACAACATTTAAAGCAGTAAATTGTTGATAAATTGAAGTCTCTTTGTTAAAGCAGAGAATACTTTATTTTGCGAAAAAGTCGCTGCTTTACCAAAACACAACATTTAAACCAATAAATTGTTGATAAATTAAAGTCTTTTTGTTAAAGCAGAGAATACTTTATTTTGCGAAAAAGTCGCTGCTTTACCAAAACACAACTTTTAAAGCAGTAAATCGTTGATCACTAACCTATATATGCACTTATATATGCTATATTTTCCAAACTTTTTTTGTTAATAACTTTTTAACGAATAGCGAGCAACGGCTAAAACCTTCTAAAGGTCACTCGGGGTCATAACCTTGACAACATGTATCAAGGTCATTGAAATCGGTGTGAGGTCGCCAAACTTTTTTTTGTTAATAACTTTTTAATAAAAAACGAACGACGGCTAAAACCTTCTGAAGGTTACTCAGGAGGGTGACCTTGACAACATATGTCAAGGTCAAGGTCATCGGAGGTGCTTCCCCTAAACTGCATAATTACCAAAAATTATACATTTTATGGCAATCCCCGGAAAATTCTACCTCTACTTCATATATAATTCTTTAAGATTCGGTCCATTAACGAATGAGTAGTTCGCGGACAGACAGACAAACAGTCGGGTCAGACAATTTTTTCTCCACTTTAAGTTATATTTCCCTCTCTTAAATTTATGTATATATAGAGATATATATTTATTTTTCCCGCGCATTGGTTGGATGTAACCTTCGCTGACCCGCCATTTTTGGCTCACTTTCACTTTTTCAATTATTTTTTCTAATTCTCTATCGCGTTGCATTTTGGCACTCAAGTCAGGTAGTACAACCCTTTTATTTACTCTTATTTTGATAAAAATTTATACATTGTTTTTTATTTTAAAGAAGTTTCAGTTTTTCCACATCATAAATGCCTGTGTTTTCTAATTTCCACAAATTTTGAGGTATTGGACTTTTTTTGTTTCTCGTTGGAGAAGGAAAATGCCTAATGCATATCTTAAGGTTGGTCCCTAGGGTTATGCCGTGCTTGCACCGGCATTAACGTCTATTACTGAAAAATTAAACTTATCGTCGCCATCCCCGAAAAATTAGAAAATTTTGGAACTGTTTTAAAAAAAATCGGTTCATTAATTAAATGAATAGTTTGCAGTCATAAAAATTTTAGCACCTGCAGTTTCCAAAAAATTAGTACATTAATAACAAATTAAATCCATATGAAAATTTTACACATCGTCGCCATTCCCAAAAAATTAGAAAAATTTGTCACCGGTTTCAAGAAAATTAATCCATTAATGAAGAATTATCTAGTAATGAAAAATTATAATCCTAAAAAAAACCAAAAAAATTTTAACACTGGTTTTAAGAAAATCAATACTTATTTTTCTTGAAAAATTAGACAAATTTTGAAACCGGTTTCCAAAAAATCGTTAACAAAAAATAATACACATCACCGCCATCCCCGGAAAATTCTACCCCTGTTTCATATATAATTCGGTCCATTAACGAATGAGTAGTTTGCAGTCAGACAGACAAACAGACAGACACACGTCAGGTCCATTAATAAAAAATTAAACTCGCGGTTTCAAGGAAATCGGTTAATGAATAAGTAGTTTGCTATATACAATACTTAATAGATACTTATTATTTTTCAAAAAATTAGACAAATTTTGGTACCGGTTTCCAAAAAATCGGAAACGAAAAATTATACCCATTATGGCAATCCCCGGAAAATTCTACCCTTACTTCATATATAATTTCTTAAGATTCGGTCTGTCCCCGAAAAATTAGAAAAATTTTTGCACCGATCTCAAAAAACTCGGTCCATTATTGAATGAGTAGCTCGTTGTCGGACATTAGATACTTATTATTTCTCGAAAACTTACGTATTATTTCCCGAGAAATTAGTTTCAAAACGGGTTCAAAAATTATCTAATTTTTCGGGGATGGTGATGATATGTATAATTTTTCATAACCGATCTTGTGGAAACTGGTTCCAAAATCAGTAACAAAAAATTATCCATAAACGTATCCATAAAAGAAAATTCAGCTTGATATCTCAAAATGTGCGGAAATTAGAGCAATCACATACATTTTTTTAAAGAAAAATTGGAAACCCTTTTATTATTAGCAATTTTTTTAATTTTATTACAATCTTTAGTTCTTTTTACCCCTATTTCATATATAATTCTTTAAGATTCGATCAATTATTTGTTGAAAAATTGGAAAAATTTTGTAACCAGTTTCCAAAAAAATCGGTAACGAAAAATTATATACTTTAAAGCAATCCCCGGAAAATTCTACCCCTACTTCATATACAATTTTTTAAAATTCGGTCTATTAACGAATAAGTAGTTCGCGGTCAGACAGACATACATACAGACAGACGTCAGACACTTATATGTATAATAATAACCGGGCTTTGCCCCGTAGGACATATGTAATAAGACACGCAAATAGATGATAGCATATATTTATATTTAACGCCAATAGATCAAAATCGGTCCAATACTTTTCGAGATGTAAAAGCAAACATACATATATACACCTATTTATTTTGAGTATCATGTAAGTGAGGTTGGGATTGAATTTGACAATGTTCGTTAAGGTGGTTCTTTTTTAAGACAATTTGTACTTTTTGTAGAAATGTTTGTGGTTGCTATAACTTCCGCAAATTTTTTTATATCGGTCTATTTCTAATTTTATTATATTATATTCTTCAGTATTTGTGAAAGAATATAATAACGACTTTCATATATCCTATATATATATAGTATATATATATAGTGACGTTGCGGCCCGCCGCTTCGTGGCAGCGCCCCGCCGCCGTCACAAGGCGCGGAAATTCGCGCCCAGGGACGAGCCAGAGAGGCGACGACGTGATCTCCAGAGGCCAAAAATTTATATCATTTCCGCGTTTTGACTATTGTTTTATTTGTATGTAATCGTAATACGCGCGGTGCCTCACCCCACCACGACAAATCTTCGAGGGAATACACCTAGCGGAAGGGTCCGGGAGGACCAAGGACCGAGGAAGGGTGGCGAGGGTGAAAGCGGAAACCACTGGAATCCCGGGCGGCGAGAGCAACGCGGCAGGCGTGCGGCGCGTGAGGCAGCAATGGACAAGGCCGCCGATAGCGGGGCCCCAGGTACCGGGAAAAAACCCGGCCTCAATAATTTACCTCCACGAAATACCGGCCCGCGGGGTGGCTGGCCACCGCCCCGAGGTCAAACCGGAGGCACACCGGCCCGAACGAAGTCCAGTCCGCTGCCCAGGGACAAATTGAAGGAGTCGCTACGCCGCCGACGGACCGTTGCGCGCCCCCGAAGGATCCACCTTTCGACGATCCTGCGTTAAAATATCGCGCGAGCTTGCAAGCTCGCTCTCGATTGGTCGGCGCGCCCCTACGAAAGGGGGTGCCACATCGATTCCGCAATCGAGCGGATTTAGCGAGACACTCTCTGGTCGTCCGTCGGCGAGTCCGAACACGATTGAAAGTTTCCTTAAGATTCGCGATAGCCGCCCCGAGTCGGGAGAATCTGTTACGCGGCGACGATCCTTGGTACGAGGTGACGGCGAGGAGTCCTACGAGAAGGCATCGCATCGGTGAGGTTGCCCGCAAGTACTTGATACCGACATGTAAAGCCACGACGCCGCCCTCCGTTACGCGCTTTTGTTCGGGAAAAACGTTTGTAATATCGCGACACGCGTACGGTTCCTTGAGACAGCGAGAGCGAAGGGCCTCGGGATGGTATCGTGGCCGCGGAATGGGGATAAAGACGTGATAGCGAGCCTCTGGAGATCGCGATAGATTCGTGGCGAAATCCGGTAATGCGATTCCGTTTTCGTGTAATGTCCGCGCTCGTGGTTGCGTCTCGCGCCTACAGTGTATCGAACGGCGTATCGAATTACCAAACATTACTTATGTTAGAATGTCGTCCGCGTCGGCCCATCAATCGCGTTAACCTGCCGTTTATGTGGGCTAATTGCCGTAGAAAATTATGCGTGTTAGGATAGTTATGTTCGGATGCGTTGTTTCGGTAACTGCGTGTAGGGAGTAGTCGTGCTGGCGGGAGAACGTTATTCGCGTGATTTACTCCATTCTTGCGATAAGCTCAGTGCCGTCGTGATTGCGTGTTATTATTGCTCGCGGTAATTCCGCATAGGTTTCCTCGCGTTCGTTCCAGTGTTCTGC